GTGTCGGATTGGATTGCATTTTCAAGGTCACAGAAGATGCAAATGGCGGTCTCTCCAATCAGACAACGAGTCCGGCTTCTTTCGTTCCGGAGCAACTGGGAACATTCTTTAGCTACCATGCCGTCGATGGCGGAAAGGTTATTGCGCAACTTCTCCTATATGTCCAGCAATTTGAAGAGTTTCTCCGTCGAGCGCTTGACGGTGGCGACCGCTTCCCATTGAGAAGCTGGATAAACACGCGGCTAACGAGCTTGCTGAAGAGGGCGGAGGATAAGGAAATGTAATCGGAGAAAATGGTTTCGACAAGCTTACGCTCGCCGGAGAAGTAGAGGTTAACACATTGTTTAAACGCCGTGATCCATGGAGGAATCTCCTTCTCCAAAGCTTCCCATTGCATCTTTTGAGCATCGTCAATTCTGATCTTCTGGTATCCAAGCTTGTTCAAGGATTCTTCAATTATGTTCCTCCTGGTAATCATGTAAGCCTCGCAGCATTCAGATTCATATCCTCCGAAGATCATCTCCTTCGCAATCCTATTCAAGGTGATCAACACTCGATGAGAATAGCCCGGATAGTTTTGTTCTTAGCCGGAATGAAGAAGAAGATCGGCCGATTGATATTCGCCGGACTGATCCGAAGCCTCGGATTCTACCATGAGAGACATGAATTCATCCTCCAAATAACACATAGCTCGCTGCTGGATCTTACCGATTCGGTTGATCAAAGCACGGTGATCGGAACCGGAATCTGACAAATTCCTGTACAATTTTGATATCTGGTTCACAAGTTCAAGAAACTAGCCATCGTCCTCGACGACCGATTCATGGCTACATATTTTTTCATCGACAAGATCGAGATACTTGTCGACGAAGTCGGGAATTTCGATTTGGACGGGCAGTCGTGACAATAAATTGTCGATATCCTGGGAGGCTTCATCCAGGGCATATTTGGCCTGGGGATCTCCTTTGTGATCTTTGATCTCCTGGGTTTCTTTCTCTGGTTTGAGCTTTGGCCGTCTTCCATGGCTGAAAATCCTTAGAGGGAAGATTTGAGTGAGTACTTTTTTCATGGTTTTGTCGGAAGGAGAATTGATATGGTCGTAGGTGGCAGTAATGTACGGAGGGTTAACGAGGAAATGCTCACGTGGTCAGCTTTAATATACACATAAAAAAATTATAGATTTTATTATTATTTAAATAATAAAATAGATAAAAAATAATCAAAAATATTATTATTTCTATCAGTTTTGTTATTATTAGATATTTTACTGGTTTTAATAATATATCTTGTAAAACAATACCCAAAATATTATTTTTTTATCAAGTTTTTATACCGCGTTTACCAATATTTATAATTAATAATAATAACAAAAACGATAACACCTTTTTTTAGCCGTATATTAAATCTGTCGCACTGTAGAACTTTCGCGTTAACCACATCACTTTGTAAGTATATATCCTAACATATATTATAGGGTAAATTGCACGTTTAGTACCTAAATGTGTAAGTTTATCCTAACCTAAATTATAATCTAAATTAAAATATATTAATTTTATAAAGTATTTTTAATTTATATTAAAAAATTTAAAAATCAATAAAAAAGAAAAAAGTAATAGAAAATAAAATAATTGCAATATAAAATATAGAATGTAATAAAACTACATTTATATAATATAAATGTATTTTCTTGATTTTTTGTAATATATGTTATAAAAATTAAAAGTTTAATGAAGAGAGGATATAAGATAAATTAAAAATGTTATAAGAATATATTTATATTATAAATATATTTTAATTGATGTTATAAATTATATTATAAATGTTTATATAATATTTTATTATTTATGTATTAATTAGTATATTTTTATTAATTAGTACATTTTAATTGATGTTATAAATTATATTATAAATATATTTTAATTGATGTTAAAAAATTAAAATCTTAAAAGTATATTTTGCATTTTTTACTCGCAAAATATTTTTGCTCTTAAAATTTTATCGATGTATATTTTTTAATATAAGATCTTGTGTCTGTCTTTAAATGTGTAAACATATAATATTTGTCATATTATTTTTTGTCACATTTATATTTGATCATATTGTATATATGTTTCTTTTATATTTTATATAATTTATTTATTCTAATTTCATTTTAAATTTATCTATCTAAAAGATTAAAAGAAATCCTAGCCACTTTCTTTCTCTTCCTCTCTTATTTTTTTTTTAATTTTTTATAATTTGTGTTAATTTTATTGATCAGTTCGATTTTTCTTCTTTAATTTTGTTTAACCAGCGGCGAAATTAATTTTGATGCTGACTGTTGCCCGTCGGTTATCTTTTTTTCTTTGTTTTTAGTTTTTTAATAAGAATAATTATGTTTTTGTAACATGCTCTATGTCTTTATAACACATTTATATATACTTTTGTGTCACGTTTTTCCTCTGTCTTTTGGTAGTTTACGGTTTTTTGTCGTGGTTTTTTTTTTTTCTAAGGGTTGGATTTGACATCGTAAATCAAAATGTCTCTTATTTGTTATCATGATGGCTCTTATTTGTTATCACGATGATCTTCCATGCTTTGAACTTTAGGATTAATTTGGATATGCGTTTTACGTTCGTGGAAAATTTTCTCATGTCACTTGCCTTTTATTTACGATTTGTCAGTGGTCTTTCAGTAGCTCCAATCTCTTTTGTGGTTCGTTTACCGATGCAATCAGATTTATTCGTGTCTTTATTTTATTCGAGCTTTTTGATTAGGTTTTTTAGTATTTTCCTTCTTTGGTCCTTATGTGATCTAAATGACTAGTTTTTATCTCAATAGTAATAGAAAAATGTCATAATTATATTTTAGATTTACAGTTATACTTGTAAATCTTCGGTGTAATTTTTGATATTTTATAATTTCAATAAAACTAACGACTTTTTATAAAAAAAAATTATCTATCTAAAATATGTTTATAAAAGTAATTAATATATTTAATTATCTAAATCCCCTGCACGGCTACAAAATATAGTAATTATAAAAAGAAGTGTAAACTAAGTCAACGGTTACTAATGTTTGGGTTAGAGTTTGTTTTTATCACGAATGTTTGAAAAATCATAAATCGGTCATTAATGTTATCATTTGTTTTAAAAATGATCACTAATATTATCGTTTGTTACAAAATGATTAATCGACGTTAACCGCCATTAACAAACCGTTATTGCAGTAATTCTTCTTCTTCTTCTTCTTCTTCTTCTTCTTTCTTCTTCTTCTTCTTCTTCTTCTTCTTCTTCTCACCCATTACACAAGGCTTTATCAACACCATTCAAAGGTTTAATATGTCGCACAAGTCTTCAGGTTGGGTATATAACATTAAATTCTCAACAAGTACAATCAACTAAAAAAGGAATTATTCCATAAAAAAACAGGATTAAAGCTGACGATTTAAAACAAAACCTAAACTCCGAGAAAAAAAAGAGAGAAATGAAGGCTAATCAGTAATGCATGACATAACAATTATACTCGAGTACTCAACAACAACATCGATCCCCGGTTGCAGGATCAGAACGATGAGTTTTAGCCTGAACGTATCCTCTAGCAAACCGGGAAAGTCCACTCCGATCACCGGCATCTCCCTCACCTTGGAGAACATAGTGTTCCTCCCCAGTATCGTTATAGTGCTGCCATTGTATTTACCTTCCATGAAAGCGAAATTCATGGCCATCAACAGCCCAACTTTCTGCTGAGACGCCGCGGAGTAAAACCCCTGTGCTCTCCCCACCATTTTCGAGCTGATCATCGTTAAAGGGTCGTCTATTACGCTGATCATCCCGAACGTCGTCAACGAGTTCTTTGACGGCATAACCACGGGGACCGCCGTTGGGTTTCGCCCCCCACGATGTCGTGCCAGTAAAGCTTGAAGTGGCTTAGCTTTTCCATCTTGTTAAGCCCCAAAAGCTTCCTGTTCACGGGAATAGAAACGGTGAAGAAGAAGAATAAGAAGATGATGAAAAGTCTAGCCATGATTCTGCGGTGGGAATTTCAGAAGACCCTACTGTAATGGAGTATTTGCTGGGTTGTTTTCATGTCCTCCACTTAATGATTTATATAGTATAGTGATTAAGCAAGCTTCTAGAAATTATATTTTTATATTGTTTTTTATGTTTATTTCTAATTACCAACCCCATTAACGTTAAATCCACTTGTTTTTGTGCATGGGCATTAGGTAATTGCATGGGTGGTAATTTATATAGGAGGAGGAGGAGGAGGAGGAGGAGGAGGAGGAGGAGGAGGAGGAGGAGGAGGAGGAGGAGGAGGAGGAGGAGGAGGAGGAGGAGGAGGAGGAGGAGGAGAACGATTTGTTAACGTCAAGTGACTATTTTATAACTAACGATAACGTTAGTGACCATTTTGTAAGAAATGATAACATTAGTGATTAATTTGTGACTTTTCAAACATCAATAGTGAAAACGAACACTAACCCAAACATTAGTGACCATTGGCGTAGTTTACCCAAAGAAGAAAAAAACCATTTTTTAATTATTTAATATTTGGATAAGGTACACAAGTGATCACGAGTATAAAGTACTAATTTATTAAGTCTATTAACTATTAAAAGTTATAAATGATCCTCTAATTATATGATATTATTTTGTTGAATCCTTCAACTATTAAAAATTATAAAATGATCACCCAACATTATATTCCAAACTCATATTTTTCCGTTAAAAAATTGACGATATTATGAGATAAATATTAATGTACTGACTATAATATAATAAAATCCGATCATATAACTCAAATAGGTGGGTGACCATTTTGTAATTTTTAATAGTCGAATGATTTAACAAAGCAACATTCTTAGAGGAAAATTTTATAATTTTTAATGGTTGAAGGACTTAATAAATTAATATCTTATTGTTGGGGACCACTTGTGTACTTTACCCTTAATATTTTGGAAAAGGGTTTGGCCCTGGGCACCGAAGCAATCGTGTAATTAGTCCACAAATCTTCACTTTTGAAGGAGCAAATCCAATCGCACTGTCAAACTTCACTTCAGCACCTAGAAAAATGATGAGGTACGGCGTTTCAAGGCGGAGGCGGGCTCTGGTACGCTGGTTTCTGATTCTCTGCGCAGCTTTTACTTCCATAACCTGGCTCATGCTCACACTAAGATCCCTCGACGCACCGCCGATTACCACCACAACCGCCGCCAACGGAGCCATGCTTGATTTGCCTGCCCAGCTGGAGCTCCGGGAGCTTAAAAGAGACGCGTCTTTGTCTTCGGCCGAGGCACCCGTTCAAGCTCGGGCCAAGACCTGTGCTACGGTGGAGGAAATGGGCAAGGGTTTTAAAGGGAGGATCGTGAAGGAGACTCTTAGAGTTGGAAGAGTTATTCAAGCTCACTTTTCTAGAAATGGTAATCTTTTGAATGTATATTCCTTTTGATTGAAGGAAATTTAACTCGGATGTATTTTTTTTTATACTTTCAGGCGCTCCAAGAATACGTGAACTTCCTCCGGAGCGGTTCTGTAGACATGGGTTTGTGATCGGAAAAAGCATCGGAAGGTGGTTTTGGGAACGAAATGTACAAGCTATTAACCGCCCCTGCCTTGAGTGTAATGCCGAACCGGTTGCTGATCATTGGGCAAGCCAGGCATATTATTGGTTCTTTCTCAATCCTATCCGTTTTGTGTTTTAAATGTTCTTATTTGTAGGGCTGTAAACGAGCCTAGTGGAGATCGAGTATTGGTGAGTTCGAAAAACTTGTCAGCTTGAAGTTTTCAAACTCGATTTGAACTCGAAATTAAAAATTGAAGCTGGATTCAAGCTTGAAAAAACTTGAACTCAGAACATTCTCGGATTAACTCGATTGACTCACGAATTCGAGCTTAGTTCAAGCTATAATTGTTAATATTATTATTAATTTGATTTAGAAAATTAAAATTTTAATATATTATCTTTTCAAGTTGTCGTCGATTTTTTCGAGTCGGTATCAAGTAGTTCTCTTCAGCTCGTTAATAACTCAAGTCAAGCTCGAACTTGAGTCGAGTTCATTTGATTCTAGTGTTGACCGAGTTTTGACTGAGACGAACTCAAATAACTTGCGATTTGTTACAGCCCTATTTATTTTTCTAATGCTTTACAAAACGTTTTACATGTCATTGCAGTTATGCCTGTCGTGCTTTTCTTGTGTTCATTTATGTTTTTTTCACTTGTCTTTGTTCAGGGGTAAATCAGTGTTTTTTCAGGCTTTTCATCGTATGCTTAGTTAAATCAGTGTCTTGATCTTTATTTCTTCGTATGCTTAGTTAAATCAGTGTTTTTTCAGGCTTTTCCATGGAATATAAGGGTTTAAGTTTTGAGGCTTAGTTGAGATAAAGTTTTGGGTCTGTGAAAGATGGATGGATGTTTCTTCAATTGATTTTGGATATGTTCTGATGGAAACTGGTTAAATATGCTTTGAATTTCCAAGATTTCTGAATTTTGATGTTAATCATGGTGGAATGATATGCCTTCACATAATCAAGAGTTGATTCAGTAGGATCAAAAGGCAGTGGACAGACCGGCCAACTTGAACTTTTAAAATTTTAGGAAGATGAATATGAACTTTTAAAATTCTAGGGGGTGAGAAAACAGAATTTCAATAGAAAATGTAAAGAAAAAATCTAAAATATATGATAATTTTAAATTTTCAGGAAGCCTCGACCCGCCCTTGGTCCATCTTTGACTGCAGGCTTAGGAAGAGAAGCTGCACTGTTGGTTCATTCCTGACTGTAGAATTAAGAAGAGAATCCGTCCCCTCGGTCCATCCCTGACTGCAGGCTTAAGAAGGGAACCATCTGCTGCAACTGATGAGCCTAATTATGGCAACATGGCTCACACTTGATAGTGCAAGGAGGATTTGAGGCAAGCCTAAAGATTTCAGACTTCATAGTCAATTTTTCACTGGTGAGGTACTCAGGGGCACAGTAACCATGTGTTACATGAAGGAGCTGAATGCCTCACCGGTGGAAAATTGAGTACGAATTCTGATATCTTTAGGGGTGGTCCTATTGGATCTGATTACTGGACATAAAGCTCGCGATGACAACCGTGCTCGTGAAGAACGATTCCTTGTTGATTAGGTAATACTTTGATTATGTACTATTTAGCCGCACCTGGTGATTTGGATCATTCAAATCTTTCTTAGTTGATGGCTGAAAACACAGAAGAATCCGAGTTCCAGTTGAAGATACTTTGGAGCAAATGATTATGTAGATATATTTAGAAAATTTTGTAGGCGCGATCGATGTTGAGAGACGGAATGAACATTTCGAACGTAAAGGATCCATTGCTGAGAGGTCACTTCTCCAAGTCAAGCATGAAGAAGGCCCTAGAGGTGTCCTTCCTATGCATTCTTAGAAAATGCTAATTGCAGACCCTCTATTAGTGATACAATGCTTGCTCTTGTTTACTTGACTTCCCATCCATATGGCGCACATGAAGCAGCTAAAAGGGTTAGCGTGAAAGTGCCCGAGAACGAAGAGTCTCCCACGGAAACAACCAGGATGTTAGAAAGGGATTCCAACAGAGAGCGAGCCGTTGCCGAGGCCCGCCAAGATGTTGGGGGAGCGTCGGACGGATAAACGAAATCAGAGCTCGGGAAATGCTTCACATGCGTCAAACTGTTGTTAGATGTTGATAAAAATTACAAAAGTGAAAAAAAGGTCCCACCGGGAGTCGAACCCAGGTCGCTGGATTCAAAGTCCAGAGTGCTAACACTACACCATGGAACCATTTGTTGCCTTGCAAAATGTATAAATTTTCAACTGTGTAAATATCAACAACAATGCTTTCTTCTTTTACCATTACAAAAAAATAATAATAAATAAAAATAATAATAATAATTTAATTCGAATTTTATAATTGGATTTGACTAAAAAACATTTTAAATAAAATTTGAATAATAAAGTATGATTAACTCAAAAAATTTTATTGACTAACTCAAATGTTCACTCCTAATTTTTCCTACTAATAATTCTTTTGTCATTTTAAGTAATCTTAACTAGGGATAGGCATGGGACCTGAACCAGAAGTGTTCTGATCTGACCTGATCGGGGGGTTTTTCTAAAAAAAATTGAGTTCGGGTCGAGTTTTTTAAATGTGATGTTCGGGTCGAGTTCGGGTTTAGGGTGAAAAATACCCGACCCAAAAAAAAATATAATTTTACCTTATATATTAAGGTATAATTATAATAATATCCCTCTATATATTATTTTCAATTAAGTCATTGTTTTTAGTGAATAAAAATAATATTTTTTATTATTATTTCGGGTCGGGTTTGGTTTTTAAGTTATATATCGGTCGGGGGTTAGGTGAAATCTTGTTTCATGGGGTCGGGTCGGATCTCGGGTGGAGGGGTCATAGTTCTCGGGTCGGGTGGACAAAAAAATCTGACCCAACCCGACCCATACCTAATCTTGACTAAATTCAAATCGCATCCTTCTCTAATATTAAAAAATATTTGTAAAACTTAAATTGAAAATAATATCTATGTAACTTTAAATTTTATTTTTTAACAATAAATTTATTATTTTATAATTTAATTCTTTATTTATATTTTATTTCATTTTTTATTATAATTTTATTTTTGTAAAATCTTTCTTCCTATCATTCCTGGATTATTTTATACTCTCATCTATTTTTTCTCAAATTAAAAAAATTATAAATATACTTTTAGTTTTAGATTAATTTATCAAAATTTAAAAAATACAAAAGTTATAGGTAAAAGGGTACTAAATGCCTAATTAATGTGACCCTTGAATTCTTTTTACACTCGATGTGACCCTCAAACATAGAAAAATAACCTAATCCATCTCTTACATTATTTGGTATCCATTTACCAAATATATATGTAAATGATTAAAAAAAGTCATTAATTTAAATCAATTACATCATAACATTAATAAGGGTAAAATACATGAATTATCCTTAATGTTTGAGTAAGTTTTCGTTTTTCCTACTAAAGTTTCAAAAGTAACAAATTAGTCAAACATTATCGATTTATGATAAAACGGTCACTTGACGTTAATAGTCATTACTAGGTTAACGAAATGCTGATGTGGACGTTAAAGTGACTTATAGGACAACGTTAATAGTCCTTTGACCTCACTCTGCAATCCTTTTCCCCGACATGGAGGGTTCCGAGTTGCAAATCTATTACCTTGCTTAGCGGGAGGCACATAAATTACATTAGCTGCAGTCCCCACATCTCTCTTTTCGTATCTCTAAGTTTATGGTATTTGTTTCTCAATGATCAGTTTAAGCTATTTTGGGAGAGACTTAAATCATTCTTTATGGAAACTTGAATGTGAATGTTGGATAGCTGCTTTATTCCTATCCTTGAAGTCTCGGATCAGGGCCGTGGCAGGGTTTTCGGGGCCTTGTACAATTCTTATAAATGGGCCTCTATTTTTTAGATATATTCGATTTCGGGGCAACAATAGTGGCGTTTTCTTGACAAACGCCGCAATAGATCCATCTATAATGGTATTTTATCAAGCCGCAATAATGGCGTTTTTTAAAAAAAACGTCGCAATAGGTCCATTTATAGTGGCGTTTATTGGTAAAATGCCACTATATATATATTTTTTTGGGGCCCATTTTTTGGAGGGCCTGCGGGTCGCGCAGTTCGCGCCGCCCCAGCCACGACCCTGTCTCGGATGAAAGTTGGGATTTCAAGAGCATGCTTGACCGTCCTTCGTGTTCTGAGCGACTAAAGGCATGGTAATGAAAGTGAGGCGGGTCTCTTGAAATCGGATCGGCGGTCCCTCCAACATATGTTAAGGAGGAGAATCCTTTTATATCGGTCCGGCTAAGTCGGCTCTTGACTTTCTTACTGTCCTATTTCTTGCTGAGGGGCTCCCAATTGTCTAATACGAACACAAAGCTCTTCGACCTCCCCGTAAACCTGCTCTGAGGCCAACACATAGTAAGTAGTACCTTGGGTCCCAGTCAAAGGAGTTCCAGTTTCTTGCCTTCTTCCCCCTTGGAGACCAAGGCATAGTTCTTCCTGTGCAACCATAGCAGAGTATACCCTTTTTATGTTTGAAATGAGCACGTTTAATTCCCTGCTAAATAAACTATTTTTAATATATTTGCATCACTGTATGGATTCCAACCCATATTTTCAAGGGTTAGAATATAAACTTCGTTTGAAGATCTATGGGTTGACCTTAGTCTTTTGACCTACACCGATTTCGTCATTGTTGTCGTCATGGCCATCATACGTTCGGGTGAGGAGTCAACGCGTTCACTTCCAAGTGAGTAGTGCATCTCAGTTTTATCATATCGGCAACAACAATGATGTGCTGAGCCGATACGTGAAGCTTCAGATCTTCCACAATTAAAACTGCTGCAAGCTTCGCTTCAACTCGTTGCCGTAGGAAGGTTGGATGACAAGATGCTTCTTGTCGACATAAACTTGTTGGAAAGTAAGCTTCATTTCTCTCTTCGGAACCTGCCCAAAGCCAAGGCATCTCTATCGGCTGAAAGGACAACAGTTGATGCAATTTACGTGCCACCGCTCAATAGGGTAATATAGACTTGCAACTGGAAAATCTTCCATGCCGAGGAAAAGAATTTTAAAGTGAGGTCCACGGTGGTCAAAATGGTTGTCCATGTGATCAAACTTGCCATATAAGTCACATCAGCATTCCGTTAACCTAGCAACGACACTTAACGATGTGTGACTATTTTATTATAAATCGATAACGTTAGTGATTAATTTATTTTTCATGCATTCTTTCAAACTTTAATGAGAAAAAAAGAAAACTTAATCATATTCCAATTGTCTTTTTAGTCATTGTTCCAAGGGACGATGCTATGAATTTCACGGGGGAAGGAAGGAGGGTGCAATCTGAGTAGAGGTGCATAAAAAATTCGAATATTCGATTTGCGTAAAAAATATCTGAAATTGGATTTGGGAAAAATCGTTTTTTTTAACCGGATAGTATAACTGGTTTGGGAAAAAATTGGGCAACCGGATTTTTTACCGGATTAAAAACCGGTTTGAAAAAAAACCGGATAAAAAACTGGTTTTTTATCCGGAAAAAAATCCGGTCTGGGGTTTAAAAAATTGGATGACCTGATTTTTACTGGATTAAAAACCGAATTTTTTTCAAACCGAAACCAGTTACATCATCCGGTCCTCCAAACCGATTTTTTAACTTAGTAAAAACAATTTTTTAATTTACTCACTGAATTTTATAGATTTAACCATTTTGTGACTTACTCTGTCATTATTTATTTAGTGTTGTGATGATATATCATTTTTATTATTATTTAATATAAAATAATTAAAAATATGACAATTAAATTACACCGTTCCTCACTAAAATTTACTATCTCTCCCATTTTGTTCATCCAATTATAAAACAAAAAAGTAGAGATAAAATGGGGGGAAGAAGAGGATTCGAAATGACGTCGTTTTAGTGTATATTTGATTTTTTCAAAACAACATCGTTTTGATGCTTGTATCTTGTCATAATACAATTAAAAAGTTAACGACAGATAGGGCCGGCTCTGGGCAGGGGCACCCACCCAGGGCCCATAATTTTAATTTATATTAATTTATCATATTTTAATAAATTAAATTAAAAATAGGGCCATAAATATTAATATATTATTTTTTTAATTAATGCAAGAGGACCTATAAACTTGTTTTTTATTGACTTATTGTTCTCATCATAACGTTAAAAATTATATTAATATACTAAATTAAAAGCATGGTCCATAAATATTAATAAACTAAATTAGAAGCAGGGTCCATAAACTTATTTCTTATTGACTTATTGTTCTCATCATAACGTTAAAAACTAAATTAATCATAATGTCAATTTTGAAAACTATAGAAATAAGGGGTTTGAAGCTAGTATAGATATTGCTAAAAGTCTTGCATTAGCTATGAACATAGAGCCAATTTTTTCGACTAAGCGTCGTATTTTTAGAAAAAGACAATTTGATAAGAATGATCATGATGAAGAAATGCAATCAACAGAGGAGTCTTTTAAAGTTAATTATTTTTTTTTTTGTTGATATGACGGTTGCTTCTTTGAAAGATTGATTTGAGCAGTTAAAGATTTTTAAAAATTATTTTGGATTTTTAATTGATTCTACAAGGTTGAAGTCATTGGATGACAATAAATTAAAAGAATGTTGTAGTAATTTTAAGATTATTTTTCTCATAATAATTTGTCGGATGTTGATGCAGATGATTTTTATTCTGAAATGAAAGTGTTGCAATTGACTTTGCCAATGTATTCATGTCACGCTTGAAGTTCTTGAGTTTGTTAAAGCTAGAGATTGTTATCCTAATGTTTCAATTGCTTATCGAATCTTATTAACAATGATGATAACGGTAGCATCCGCAGAAAGAAGTTTTTCAAAGCTGAAATTATTGAAGAGTTACTTGAGGTCAATAATGTCACAAGAATATTGAATGGGCTAGATATGTTATATATTAGAAAAATATGTTGGAAAACATTGATTTTGACACTATCATCATGATTTTGCATCAAAAAATGCTCGAAAGTAATGTTTTTATAAGTATTTATATGCTTAAATATGCTTTTTGACATTTTGATATTGTAATGAGTTAATATTTATTTAATTTAATAAAAAAATTAAAATTTTATATTACATATTTTTCA